CCACAGGCAGCTAGTAGATAGCATAGGGTGGTCTCCCAAGTCTAGTATGCATAATATAAAGTCAGATTCTTAGCATGCAGACCGTGAACAGGCGTGGCGGGCTCACTTCCTTCGGAAAGCCTGCTGCGTGGACAAGGAATAAGGTTATCCCCTTCGTCCTGACTTTGGCGTTCCAGTCCTTTTTCACATATCGATTGACACAATTCCACAGTAGCCTTTCGTCCATGACTCCGGAATAGCCGTCCTCTCCTTGCCGAGCCTGTTGTTCCATGAGTTCAAGTCCCAGTTTCTTGATATCCCTCCCGGTTCTTTTCGAAGAGCGAGGGGGTGGCTCAGGAACTGGAGTATTTGGGCTGACTCTGGGATTGGCGGCAGGTATGATATGCGTGCTGATTTTGTACATGCCAAGTAAGGTATCGGTCCGGGGCTTGGAGGGCAGGGATGGGATCTCGACGCGCCCTTCATGGTGCTTCAATGGCACCCATGGGCGCGGTTTCACGGACGTCCGGAGCGTCGTAGGAGTGTAAGGGAATGATGAGGCCATAAATGCTGCTTGAAGCTTCAGTATACACGAATTGAACCTGGCCGAGTGGTTTCCAAGTAGGGTACAATGAATGTGAATTTATTCTGTGAATCTCGAACGGTTTCAACGTCGTACAGTGCTAACAGGACAGGAGAGAAGGTGAGATTTATGTAAAGGAAGGTTGTGTTGTTTGAGATTTGTTATAAATAACGCATTCATTATGTCGCGGGCGTTGTGGGGTGTTACCATATGCATAGAACGGGAGCAAAACGGGAGTTAGTACTATTACTGTTGCAACTTGAAGTGAAACGATTTCAAGGTAACTTGGTTTCGTTTCGAAAAAAGTGGGAGTTCAAACGCTCAACGTCAACGTTCAATCGCAGGCAAGCTCGATATCGCACCCACTTCATCAGACGGGCGGGATGAAACGTCAATCGGGAATGATACGGTCGGCACGCGCACCGGGCCAGAAGTGGACTCCAGAGTCCAGTCACTCCACAGCCACTCTGATATGATGCATGTGATGGGTGACGGCACTGTTCTTGACGACGATACGATTGATTCAAGACTCGAATCGTTGACACGGATAACAGCGGGGGCTATCAGCAAACAAGCCAAGGATTTCGCAGCAAGTGGAAGACATGCTAAGGCAAAGGACCGTGCGAATGACTAGAAACACACGACCATAGCACCACTACTGCTGTTTGGCTGAATTGACTCATGACTACAAAACAACATAAACTATCACACCATCACTATATGCACCTACAAATGTATCAAGAGTACTTGGCACCAGCGGCCGGCCGGCGTGTCTTGAATGTTCTGGAACACCCATCATGATCATGATCGTCTTGCACATCGTAATCATATTGGGCGTTCGAACGAACTCTTGTGATGATTGACTAACTTAGCCTATCGTAACGTCTGCGAGGCTTCGAGGCTGGAGTTTATTGGTGATGTCTTGCATACTTGCCTCATCAGGGAATCAAAACACATACTTAGAGGTTCGTCGCATTATCTCCCTAGAGCGCCCATCTTGTTGGATAAGTTCACGACGAAGCCTCTGCGTAGCCAGATAAACACTTATGCGATGATGTACATGCGACTTCACACTGATTGGCACATGTGGGCCTGGCAGCGCCTTCAATTCTCTCAAGGTCAGTGAAATCCTTACTAAACATGATTCGAATCATTCCAACCATTTACGATAAGGAGTCAGGTGGCACGTCTGAAGCTCTACAAGCTCATGGTCTCTGCTTCCGAAGATACCCCTCATTCACACCAATCATACACTTGACAGAGTGAACTGGTCGGTACTTAAGCAAACACTGCTTATCTGGAGGCGAGAGAGTGGTTTGTTATACCTTATCTCTCCCTGCTCTCGGTTTTCTACGAGTCACCATACAACGCTAGTCTTCTTATCTACTCACTACAATCAGGGCGTGTCACGTCCACCATGGTCAAGTTAGAACATCGAGATTTCAGTGTAGGAGGGGACAAGGAAGAGGCACGCGATGTTTCTGTGTCTGGTCAACGCCTTCAGGAGCTGGGGTACGCGGTCGAATTCCGCCGCGAGATGTCTCTCTTTGGAGTGCTTGGGATGTCGTTCTGTGCCATAGGCATTCTGACTGGAATGAGTAGTGCGTTTCAGACAGGGTTGTTCTCTGGAGGTCCGCTTGGCCTGTTCTGGGGATGGAATGTGAGTTTCGCGCTTCGGTCTACCTGAACACGATACAAGCTGCTGTTCTGTATAGATATGCAGTTTTTTTATGTTTCTGATCGCTTTAAGTCTCGCAGAGATTTGCAGTACATAGTGAGCAAGTCGTTATACCCTACCAAGAGCTATGACTTACGTTGTCGTATAGCCCAACAATGGGAGGACTCTACTTTTGGGTTTGCAAAATGAAACCAGACATGCCTATCCTTGGCTGTAAGTTTCAACATCCACTTTTCACGCGGTGGCTCATGAATCAGTCTTCACTGGCTGGCTTTATTCCATGGCTATGGTGTTTACCGGCGCTTCCGGAAATCTGAGGTAAGTTTCATTCGCATCATATGATCCGCGGCCTGCGAATTGTCATCTAGTATTGCTCTATACCTTGCATCGATGGCGGAGGTTGGACAAGGAAGGACTTTGACACGAATAGAAATCACTGCGATCGCATGGGCCATGAACATATTCTCTGGTATCATCAATACCATCGGAACGAAGGCTATAGGGCGAATGAGCGCGTTTAATGTCTGGTGGACGCTGGGCGGGACGTTTGTCTTGGTCATCACCCTACTTGTGAAAGCGCCTGTGAAGGTAAAGTTGTCCCAATCTACCTGGCGAACTTTCTTCACGCGAAACTTGATTATGTATGATAGAATTCTCCTGAATTCGTGTTCACGAATTTTCAAAAGTAAGCTGTTGCTTACTCTGCAAAAGGACAAAGTTAGTGACCGGCAGATTAGCTTCACAGGCTGGGAATCGAAAGGCTTCGTCGTGCTTCTTGGGTTTCTTCAGGTCAGGTTTGATTATGTACGCATGATCTGCAATGTGACTCACAGCGCTGTCGTGCTATAGGCTGTATACACGCTCGAGGGATGTGAAACAGCAGCTCAAGTAGCAGAAGAGGCTGTACGCGCAGAAATCTTGGCCCCACTCGCTGTGGTAGGCAGCATTGCAGGCTCTTGGTTGATCGGTCTCGCGTACATGCTTTCACTTCTTTTCGCAGTCCAGAACATCGCGTCCGTTAAGGCTACCACATATGCCATCCCAATTTCTCAACTCTTCTATGATGCTGTCGGGCCCAAGTTGACCCAAGTGTGTCTGGTTGTGGTGCTGCTTGCCCAAGTGATGGCTGCGATTACCAATTTCACTGCGAGCTCGAGGCTGTTCTATGCCCTCGCAAGAGATAATGCGTTCCCTTTGAAAAAGCAATTTATAGCCTTGAACCGATTCCAAGCGCCATACTGGGGTGTATGGGTCAGCGTCTTGATAGGATGCCTTATATCGTGTGCTTATATTGGGTCTGCGGTTGCAGTCAGTCGACCTGTTTCTTCTGATGCCTTTGTTCTGATAAAATTTACGCATTCACAGTTCAACGCCATCTTATCTTCAGCAGCCATATCAGTGATGTTGAGCTACATGCAACCCATCCTTATTCGTGTGTTCTGGCCTGACTCGTTCGTTATTGAAAATCATGTATCCAAGCCTCGGTTAACTCATGTGTTAAATTTAGCATTGACGATTTTGGACCTTTTCGCCTTGGAAAATGGTCATGGCCAGTGAACTTGGCAGGTCTTCTGGTGCGTACATTCTTCATTTTTACAAATAGCCATTGATTATCTGTGTAGTTCTGCATTTTCATCTGCGTTTTATTCATCCTACCTACGGCATACCCAGTGAACGTCCTCAACATGAACTACTCAATTGTTGCTGTGGGCGGTCTTTTGGTCATAATCACGATCAACTGGTTTTGGTGGGGAAAGCATAGTTTTAAAGGCCCTGTTAAAACATGGGTAGCGCCAAGTCCCTCACTCCATTGACTTACATACCTTTCGCACGATGCAGTTGAACACTTTTTATATTTAATTTATATACGATACACGAGAGTCAGCGCGGTAGTTGAGTACTCGAGGAACGATGAAATGATAGTAGCCCAATGTCATATATTTCAAAGAGTGATACTTGATTCAGATCACAGTCGAATGTGTCCTGCAGTTGTGCCCCTACCGGGGCCTCACGCAATGGCTGCCACTCGCGGCTGCTATTGTGCTTAAACTTCTCATCGCTGGGAATTCTGGACCGGTAGGACTCGGAGCATCTGCCTCGAGTTTGCTCTTGGGGTCAGCCGTGCTTTAGCCTTTGAGTCTTCAGCTGACGTCTTACTCTGCAGGTGTCATACACTCAAAAAGTAGCCCATCATTTGACACCACCGAAGTGGAGCGTCACGCACAGGCGATCAACCTAATAAAAATAAGTCAAGTCGGATTAGAGACTTGAAGTTTCGTGGGCCCCTGAATGGCGTCTAAGTCACGTGGGGGTGGTTGAACACGCGAGCGACTCAAGCAGTCGGAAGGGCAGACGCATGCCCGCAGTAGCGTGCAGTCTCCCTAACAGGGACTACAATAAGGCTGGCGACACGCAACCTTGGTTTTACTGACAATGGAGTCTAGGAGGACAGTCCCCGATTTTTATCGTGGAGGCTCGCCTTCGACACCTTACTATACAGCTCATCCATCTCCGGCGGCCACTCCGGAGCCTCGCTCTGATGATGAGCAGCAGCCAATAGCAGGTCCATCCAAGCTCACGCTAGACTTGCCGGTCTTCTCTCTGGACTCGAATGATACTCTCCAGCTCTCTGATGAGGAAGAAGAAGAAGAGCACTCAAATTTGCGCTTAAACATTAATTTTAATCTCTCATTAGATTTCAGTCAAGCTACGCTAGGACACTCTCGTCCGCCTTCACCAGCACCAACCGCAGACTTTAGCATGATCTCACCTCCAAGCAGTCCTTCCTATATTCAATATCACTCTCAATTCCTTTCAGCACAGCAAGGGCGAAACACCCTTCCTTTCTTCCGGACATCTCCAACCCGCACTTCTACCCATCTACGAAGTCACAGCATAGCCTCGGGAGGCAGTACAAAACGTCGTGTACGTCCCAATATCACAAAGCTTTGGGAAAGCATCTCTTCTCCATCTCCTCGAGGCAGCAAGTCCTCCCCTATACTCAAACATCCATCGCCAATCCACAGGCACTTTCCTAGGTCCTCCCCTAATATCTTGCGCGCAAAGCGCAAGACCAAACGTCCTTCGGTATCAGGCGTCTTCTATTGTGGATCCAGGGTTCAGGGTAATACCAATGGGGATGTCCACGTAGACTACGGTGCATTAGACCCACTTGACGGTGAAGAAGGTGAACTCGTAGATCACGAAGGTTATTTTGATGCAATTCAATGCGATCTCACAGGTACGGATTCTTCAGATTTTTTAATACAGAATTAACATTTAACATTTAGCGTCCCCATCGTCATATACACGGTCCGCCTCCCCCTCTCCCACCACCACCACTCCAACCTCATCTCACCTCTGTCTCTTTCGACCTCAAACTCCCTCCCAAGCCTACACCCTCTGCCCAACATCATACGCCTCAGCCTCCACCTCCACGTTCACTTCCGCGCAATACCTACCCCCTGCCATGTCATACCTCCCCCTTCCCCCAGAACTCGTCCTACACATTTTCTCCCTCCTCCCGATGCGTTCAGTCTTAGCCTGTATGCTCGTATCTCACTCTTTCTACACCCTAGCCAAAGACACAAGCGTCTGGCTCGGAGTGTGGAAAGGAAGAGAAGGCCGTCCAAGAGTCCGACCCCGCGCACCTTATCAAAGCCCATACAATCATTCCTACACACACAACTTTGCGTACGGGCTCGGGTCTTCAGTGAATTACATGTCTTCTTATTCATTCCCACAAAATTCCTTACCCAGCTCGTCGTCCTCTTCTTCTCAAGACGATTCGGATTCGGATATCTTGTCGCTGCGTTATGCCCACGCAGATGAAGGCGTATATGGATTCTCGCTTCTGGAGGACTCCGAAGATGTGGAGGGAGATGGGCCTAGTGGCTGGGCTGTAGATTGGGATCGAGTCAAGGCATTGCGGCACAGCGGACGCTCCAGGGGCATTTTTATAGACGAAGAAATTAATGCTAACCGACCATCGATTTATATCCCTTATGCGGATCCGATCTTAAGAAGAGGCACGAATTTAGGACCTCTCCGGCTTAACTGGCACACCCTCTACCGCTCTCGTGCCACACTCGAAAGGCGATGGCGAGATCCGCGCGGTGAGCCACGGGTGATGCGGATTGAGGGGCATGGAGACAGGTGAGTTATATCTCCTCCCCTCTGCGTTTGAGTTCGAGTTTGAAATTTAATGACTGATCGACCCCCATAGCGTCTACTGCCTCGACTTTGACTCGCGACGGATCATCACAGGATCTAGGGACAGGACCATCAAAGTGTGGTGTATTCGCACTGGCGAGTGTCTTGCGACGTTTGAGGCTCATTTGGGGAGTGTGCTTTGTTTGAAGTTTGAAAAGGATTTTGATGCGAAGCGATCTTGCTCGCGCCGGTCTTTTTCTCGCGGGCCTATTATTAATGGTGAAGAGGAGGAGGGTGGTGCCAACGAGGATGTGAATGAGGGGGAAGAGGAGGAATCGCACGGAATGATGGTATCCGGTTCTTCTGATTGCACAGTACGCGTCTGGGACCTATACGCAAAGCATCGTGGTTCGGGAATACGGGCTGATGTACGTGCGATTCTACGTGGCCATTCTGGAGGCGTGTTGGATTTGAGGATGGATGAGAATTGGATCGTTAGCTGGTAAGTTCCCCCTTCTACCCATATCTGATCCTCCGATATCACACATCGTCATACAAACCGACACTAACGCCTTCCCTACTCAGCTCCAAAGACGCACTGATCAACGTCTACTCCCGATCTACGCTCACTTTGCATGCTGTCCTACGAGGCCACGAAGGACCCGTGAATGCCATCGGGCTCGAAGGCGGGAGAGTAGTGAGCGCCAGTGGGGATGGTCGAATGATGTTGTGGGATGCTGCTAGTGGGAGATGTGAACGGGTGTTTGAGGGGCATGAGAGGGGGTTGGCTTGTATTGAGTTTAAGGTGTGTTTCTTATATTTTCTTTCCCGCATCCCCGAAGTGTAGTCATCGTCGGTCATCGGTCATTGGCAATCGATCAATTATACCTTTTACTGATACAACTCGACTAGGACGACCTAATCCTAAGCGGTTCAAACGACTGCACTATCAAGCTCTGGCGCGCATCTACAGGAGAGTGTCTGCACACTTTTGCTGGTCATACGTTGTTGGTCCGCGCGTTGTGTTTTGATCCGAAGACTGGGTATGTGGTTAGTGCGAGTTATGATAGGAGCGTTAGGGTTTGGGAGTGGAGGGAACCTGCTGTGGATGTTGATCCTTTCATTTCGCGCTCTTCCTCGTCGAACTCTTCCTCGTCGTCATTCCACTCGACACACACCAGTACTTCAACACATACCAGCAACTCAACACACGCCAGAACCTCGATCTACGCATCCGACACAGACGGAGCAAGCGTAGTAGGCGTCGCGGACGGCGTCGTAGGGTATAGAAATTCTGGTATGAGCGAGAAGAGGGGTGTTGGGAAGTTGGTGAGAGAGTTTAGGGATTTGCATGCGAGTCATATTTTTGATGTTAAGTTTGATGTGGGGAGGATTGTTAGGTGAGTGTTTTTTTCTGTATTTTTGGGGTATTGGGTCGGGCTTTGACAGTTGGCTGGGCTTTTGATCGTTGATGTCCTCGGTGTTTCCTTTGTTCCCGTTTCGAGTCTGATTGATGAGACCTGCTGACGGCGCTTTCCTACAGCACTTCGCATGACCAGAAGATTGTTGTTTTGGATTTCACAGACGGGATTGAAGGCTCTGAAATCTTTGGGTGACATAGGGCATTGGATACCTTTCTATTCATTTTCATCTTTCACCCCATCCTGACTCGACCATATCTGGTGATAACCAGATAGTACCCGACATCGAATCTATTTATTTATCACGCATCTTATATCTGTTTTGGGCATCCTGCATTGCAACTTGAGTTTGTTAGTTCTCTTGTATACCTCTAGTGTATTATGTACAGTATATTTGGTAAACGTATCGGCAACGCTGGCTGGCTTAAACTAATACCACGAACAAGTTGGATATGACTAGGTCAAACCTTTTCTCTCTCAAAGGGCTGGCTGCAGCGGTACCGTGACGTGGTTATCTGATATCATGGTATCTGACCCTAATAGAAGCCTTGAAGGAAGACAGCTGTGAACTTTTGTTCAGGCTGGGTATGTACCGATAGTTTGGCTAGCGGTACGGTACCTCACCATGAGCCTAAGACTTGCTAAGTGGTCACTCCGAGAGTCGGACCACAGGCGTACGTGGCTGAGAGACAAGTCCAGACCAATTGCAAGTTAAGTTCGTGGTAGTACTAAGTATCAGTTATCATGATAAGTTGATCTACCCAGACCATCGATCTGCAGATTCTCTACCGATTTCATATCAAGACGGGTCGTCCGGATGTCGTGGAAGCTAGCAATTATGTAATTTGATTCCGATTCAATTGTCCGGGGTCCTGCCATCGAACGACGCGACGCGCGTGACGCGCTGCGCTGGATATGAACTTCGGAGACCTGGAACAACTCGAAGAAGGAACCGCGATGGATACCGAATCCTTACGACCAAGGCCAGGGTGACACCGACTAGGCTTCTGAACTTCGCAATGCCACCGTGGAGTCACTGTGGTAACCGTGACTGTACTGGTCCCCAACTGGTTCAAACTCGAAATCAATCGTATCCCAACCCTTTTATTCTCGTGTGAATCGAAATGATCGCCAGGAACGACAAAGTGCCAGCACTCGTACTGACTTGCCACTGACATGTCGACAGCTCAAGCGCAGGGGACACACATCGGAGCTGTGGTTTGGAAATTGGCTTAGTGGGTAGCTGTAGTGACCATGTTTCGGCAGCCTATTCTTTACTAAGAATTTATGACTGTACAAGACCTACAGGCCGCCACACTATCAGTCATATGAGTACGTAATGCTCAGAAGATGCTGCTATTTTTCGATGCATATCTGGGAGAAGGCCCAAGGGTGGGTGACTTCGTACAGGTAGGGTCTAGTCATTGTTTGATACAACAAATCTTAGAGAAGACAAGGATAAATTTAAATTCAGTCTGCGACTGATGACGTCCCGAGTAGTCAAGTGAGATGCGAGCTCATGTCCGTGACTAAAGGCGTGCAAGATAATCAACCGTGGTCGTAAATCGAGCTAGATCATCGTCAAACCGCAGTAGGCTTCGATCCTCTGCATATGTATATGAACACTGATACGCTTGGCATGATCTACTCACTGATTTTCAGGAGGCCAATACGGAAACTCGTTTGTCTGGGTCAATGTAAATCTATCTGCGACGGTCTCGGGATCACGAGTTACAGGTGAGATGTCGTCCCATACAGGTACTGACAAATGCTTTTCTGGCTTGTTGATCTCCATGAGCTGAGAATCAGATGCATTGTAGATTTCCTAGTCCCTATCGGGATATGTTCCTTGATCTATACAAGGATAGAAGTCTCGAGCGTCTCACCAGGATAGTTGCGGCGTAGATAGTAGGATCGCAATGCAGTGTGCGATTGCGATGTGATCGCAGAACATCAGTGGACTCTTGGGCGATGGTACGACTGGAACTTGCGGCGTGAAACAGGTTGTTCCATTGATCTCGTTTGAACCACATGGCCTTCACTAGTAGACACCGGGGCCCAAATTTTGGGATGGCTGGTACCCTAACACCTACCGAAGGGAGCGGCAAGGGCAAGGGCGCAAGTGCTAGCACAGGAACAATAATAGGAACGCAATGTTAAAATGCGCAACAAGTATCATCAGCATAATTCAGCAAGGCGTAACATGCGTGAAACTAACTTTTGAAGACGCTCGGGGTCAACAGAAATGTAGAACAAGCGTTGAACACGGACATGGTGAAACGTTTTCGGGGTGTAAAAGTTGACACCTCGGGTCCGTCCCTCGACCGTACTATACCAAATAATGTGCCTGTGTCGGGTGTCATTGGTGCTCCACAGCTCCTTGACATAAGCGTCAGATCCGGGAGATACATTCCGCTCGTTTCATATCTGGTCAGGACTTCACGGGGATGGCAGTGTTGCGGCATCATGGATACTGCGAAAGGGTCAAATTCAGGACCTCCCACTTAGTCGGAAAGAAAGGATATACAGGTTGTAAGCGTCGCTAACGGAACACCAGCCCATGTTCGTTGGCCTGTGGCGTTGTAACAATTGCTCCTTCACCAACGAGCGTTAAAGCGATCCAGTAGTACCAGGTGACCGTAAAATTAGCACCTTTGACATGTCCACGTGGGCCATGATAAAAATACGGTACAAATATTTACCCGCTTATTCCAGGTGGTGTCCCAGTCACAGCTGATTCCTGAATTCAAGCTGGAAGCTTGAAGCCTTGGAGGTGATGCTAACGTTGACCAAAAGGAGACTTGGAGTTGGCCAGAAGTTCATTTGTACGTGATGAGGTACTCACTTGGCACTGAACCCACAACAAGCCCACAAAGTACTATGTGAACCGGTGGAAAAATGCGTTTCGGTGTTCTTTCAATATTCGTGCATTTCATTGGGCGATGCTAGTTAATCAAATCATAAGTACACTCAGGCTGGACGACTCAAAACCGGCATTTGAGTTATCGGATAGCGTCGCAACGCCATCGTGCCAATGGAAGAGTCGCGCACTTATCTTCAAGTCGTTTCAAACATAACAGCATGCATTAGGTACTGACAAAACAAGAAGTCTCGCCACGTATCATCACGGCATGCAGTGTTTTTCCGACAGTAATCGTGATTAGATCAGGGTATACGAATGCATATGGATTCTTTAATATGCTCTTCCTGTGACTCACCTCAGCTTTTCCGGCGTGATCTGGCGTCCCGTCGGCCAAATCACATGGACAAGTCATTATGTCAGAACATTTCTAGCGTGTGCAATTGCGCAGACGAATAGAACAATCGAGATCTTGTAGTGATCTAGAACGACGAATCAATAATAAGTATAGCGGTGTAATACAGAGCTCAAAATACAATTAGCGACACAGTTGGCCAGAAAGTGATGTGAAAATGAGATGGTATAGAATGTCCGAGAGAAGAAGAAGATGCTGACCACCCTCCCAACTAGGAAGGGATGGTTGTAATATGCACGAAATCAGGATGGGCAAAAGTTGCTGAAAAATGCAAAGTCGCACTGTCGGCGATTCTTTAATCGCCGATAAGCGACCTGCCATCTCAGAGTCGTAGGGGCAATGCTAGGGCCTGAGATATCAAAGGTGCGCTGTGACCAGATGAATTTACTATGTGATGCAAACGCTTGCGTGGCGGCACGTTTGAATCCTGAAAGTCTGTCGTCTTCTCAGGACCAGGTTCCTAACCAAAAGGTCTTCGCCACATACTATGTACGTCAACTTGACCACCCTCCTCCCAACTCCGCGAGTGCTTGCGCTCTGGCCTGTAGGATGGATCTCTTGATGATCGCATCTGCCCGGTAAACTCAGTGTGGAAAGGAAGTTCCAGGAAAACATTCTTACCTCTGATTGTGGGATTGGTTCGAGTGCCCCAGCGAATGACCCTGTCATATCTGGTTGACGCCAGTCGACTCTGGGACTATTTTGTGATGGTACCATGTCAGCTGAGGGTCTCCGGTCGACAAGGTGGTGAGACGAATATGGGTGCTGCAATGGAATGAGCGGTGTGTCTCTGGAAATGTGGGTTCCAAACGCACGTCTTGTTGACTAGAAGTATCGTCGTGAGGTAGCGATGATTGCCGCGAGTAATCTTGAAGAGGAAGTAAGATTGCAGTACGCAAAAATAAATGCTCCAAATAAGCTCCTACCTGTTGAGCTCTGAGTTCTAGAGAGAAGAGCTGTCACTAGCATAAGTTTCGTTAGGCGGGACCGTGATGCTAGCGCAGCACAAAACACCCACTGAGCTCGTCACGATGCTGTTCGGCGGCGCTGACATCCCGCCTAGCACGAGCTTCCGCATCCAGGCAAACAGTATATCGTTGAAACGCATCTTGTGTTTGCGACTGCGCACGTGCGAGCGTTGCCCGTGCTTCTTGAAGATATTGACCTTGTGATGAGATTCAACCTGGAAACATGAGGAGAGCTGATTAATCGGACAAACCAGATGACTGCGCGTCTTGTAAGAGTTGCTCGTATGTTGCTGTTGAAGGCGAGGAGGATGTTCGAATGACATGTGCGCGAGATGTGCCTGGTGAGTGCACATAATTTGGACTTGAAACATTTGAACTACTTTCTGTATATGGGGAGTCAATATGACTGCGTGAAAGTACTCGAGAGCGAACATGACGGCTGACCTGGCTGCAATCGAGCGATATGATCCACTAAACTGGAGGGCGGATAACTCCCTTCGGATAATTCAGGTGTTGAGACCTCCATGGAGTCGTCGATGGGCGGAAGCTGGGGAGCATTGGGGCCAAGATGTCGCAAGCGGGGATTGTGGGGGATGCCTGCGTTGTGTCGCTCAATAAATTTCCTTAGAAAGGCGAGCTCAATATCATCGGGCATCACATATGGAGGGCCCTGAATGTCGCCTTTCTGCATAAGGACCTCTAAATGTGACATTGTCTTATCCTTGAGTTGTTGCAACCACTCATGCAATTCCATGTGATCTTGATCTGCGCGAGCGTCACTGCCGTCAAGAGTGCTATGTCAACAATAAAGCATGTCTGTAAATAATCATCGACAAACTAGTCTTGACGTCTTCTTGCTTTTCTCCAGTAGGTTTTTGTCAATTTCAGGGCGCGGTTGACTTCATTGTCGAGAGTGCGATACCAATCGCTTGAACGTCGGTTTAGTTTCACAGCCAGCACGCCGGGTTGAACTCGTAGCTGGAGCACACAGCGACCGTCGGCATCAGGAGGGCCCAAGGCACCTTTTTGACCTTGATTGCCTCTGGTGGCGCCACGGGAGACGTTGCCAAGTTCTGGCCATGGTAGGTCGTCGGATTGCATGATCACTAAATGATTGATACTCCGTCAACGGAGTGGCGAAGTTGAGGGTGTTGCAAGAGTGGAGATAAAAACTCGTCCAAGATAATCGTGCGGCAGCCTTATAATTGCAGGTGTCCTTTCTATGCAACGTAGCGATGCGGCTTTCACCATACGCACTGCCTCGGTTATTCCAATCAGTGTTTGCTGGGTGACATGTCAACATACTCATGTCAGCAGGGGTGACATCTGGCACATCTAAGTAGATTTAAGTTCAAACGTTCAAGCCAGGTCACCTCGCTGACGGATATTCGGACTGCTCTCACGTTTATATATCATCGCGACGCTGGCCGGTGACCTGATATAGTAGGTATGGTTGTGATGAGAGAAGAAACGGCAGCTATGATTACAAGAATAACGATGAAGGCGACGACAGAAAGAGTGTCATTGGGTACCATAACCCATACTTGGCTGACCCCTGCAATCACCCTAAATCCCACTTGGCGGTGCCACGACAGCCGCGAGATAACTCATCGTCCAATCGAGTATCGAGGTCTTGATTGACTTTCAAATTACAATCCCGATCATGTGGAGAAGTCCACTCCTTGCGCCAGAGGTGCAGCATCGGAAAAGTTCACCGTACATGCACTCCAGCGAACGTACTGCTTCCAGGCGTCTCCACCGGATTCGCGGCCCCTGAAATAAAGAAGTCAGAAGAGAAGCAGATCCGCCTGGAGATATTCTGACCATCCGGTGCTCTATAGGTGAGAAAGCGCGCAATTAGGCTGGGAAGGTCGATCATTCAGAACAGAAGCTGTGACAGACCTTATTGCCTCCAAATGCGGCACCTATTTCGGCGCCGCTAGTCCCAACGTTGACCTCAAGTGTTTCATTAGCATCAGGTCTGCATGTCTCAAGGCCAAATACACATACATTCACAATGCCAGCATCTGAACCTTCAGGGCCAATCCACTTGCCAAGGTTCCGAATGTCTCTGGTCCAGAGGCTGCTGGACAGTCCTTGGGGAACAGCATTGTTCCATTCAATGGCTTGCTCCAACTCATCGAACAAGCCGACGTTCAGGATAGGTGCGAACGTTTCAGTACTCCATATCTTATCAGCAGGGTCCGCGGTCTTTGGAATTGAGATCGTGGGTTGGACAAAATTACCCTGGCTCAATGCCGCATGGTCATATGTCTTTCCACCAGTAAGAATTTCAGCACCGGATTGGCGGAGCCGCTGCACAGCATCGCTGTAAATTCCAACAGCTGCACGTGTATGCAACGGTCCGAGCAAAGTGCCATCCACTAGGGGGTCTCCGACGTTTATAGTAGCGTATAATTTCTGAAGTGCGTCCAGGAATTTCGGCGCGATTGCACGGTGAAGATAAAGTCGCCTGGTAGACGTGCACCGTTGACCAGCAGTGCCAATAGCGCCAAAAAAGACAGCTGGCACAGCTAACTGCATGTCTGCGTCTGGCATGATAATTGACGCTGATGGGATGTTATCAGAGGCCATCCTCATGGTTCTTCGGAGTAACAAAAGTACCGTTGTTCCCGCCCAACTCCAATATGCTCTTGCCGAATCTAGACTGAACAGCCTTACCAACCACCCTACCTACGGCCTCACTACCTGTAAATGAAACTAAAATATTTTTATTTAACAAACGCCCTACGCCACTTGAAAAGAAAGACTTACCAAGGGGTATATCCCGACTTTCAACGATAGCTTCTCCGACATTCTTTCCGCCCGTGATGAGGGTAGACACGGCACCAGGAAGGCCGTTCTTCTCCAACACACCCGCAATGATCTTTGTTACGGCAATGGAACAAAGTGGTGTGCTCGGCGAAGGTTTCCAGACGTTCGCATTCCCGGCGGCGACCGAAAGCGCGAAATTCCTACATTCAATTACTTAGTCAGGTCTCCCTACAGCCATAGGAAGTCATACCACCCGTATACCGCAACCGGAAAGTTGAAAGCAGTAAGCACGCCAACGACACCAATGGGGTTGGGCACTGACAAAATAGTGCATCAGCATAGCATGTCAAAAGTTGGATTAATTGCGCAGTTTACCTTCCAGGATAGTGTGACCAGGTCTTTCAGATGCCACAACTCTGCCGTTCATCATTCGAGATAAGCCCACCGCATAATCGCACTCAAGAGATCAAGGGTTTCAAGATCAGCATCGGAAGAAGCAAAAGGATCCGCACAATATCCACGAATTCCTGAACTTCCCCAATACCTTCTGTTTTGATTTTCCCCATTTCGAGGGTGACCAGTGCCCCAAGAACGTCACGCTAAAAACAACAATAAGACTACCTTTGGAGGTGACAAATTTGGTGGAAAAGTGACTCTGTACCTTCGCGGAGAGCGCTTCTCTGATCTGTCGTAAAAGCTCGCCTCGCTTGGGAGCAGGAACCGTCCTGAGATGAAGATAAGCTTCCTTAGACTTTCCCAGTGCTTCGTGCAGCTCATCCGGTGTCGCCTGTGAGATTTTATATTACATGCCGGACAAAGTACGCAGCAAGCCTACTATGCACTTACCGAACGGACCCGCGCAAGTACCTCCCCTGTGGCGGGACACACGCTTTCCAGCACTTCCCCAGAGCCAGACCATTGTCCGTCATAAACGCCTGGGAGTTCCGCACCAACAGGGATGTCAAGTGACGAAAGAATAGCCGATGCGCGCGTTGACAAGCTCCGCGCGCCACGAAGAGTACCGCAGACTGGGTGACGCAACAGTATCATACCGCTAAATCTGAAGATGTAAGTAAAAGTGTTACGTATGAATGCTGCAGTCTACGGTCAAAGCAGATTGCGACTTTAGTTGGTGAGAACGTTTGGTTCGAGTTGTAAAATTTCTAAAATTTCGACACCACTGAATCACGTGGTTCTGTAAGGTTCCAGCACCCGTGACGCTCTGCAGGAGGAGCGCTGAAGCTTGAAGCGTGCATACGAGATACGCAATGTGAGCTAACATGAATGAGATAGCATAATTACATATCACATAACAAGTATCTAAGCGCTGAGCTTTCGCAGATCTATCTGTCCATTAATAGACTAAGGACAACCGCGTTCTCGGACCAAAACAAAAGCCCACGGATCTCATTAAGATGATGCAATATGTAGCAACCAAAACACTGACAGGGATGGATAATCGTGGATGCACTAATCTCACAGCATGCCTTTCGGACCCTCCCGACGGGTTAACCATAATGGACCTCCGGTCCCTGAACGGCTGTGAGTACTACCCGTATCAGGAGGAGGCAAGGCGATGAGATGAGATGCACCTATGGGGGTTAGATTAGCGTCGAGGGCGGCGATGCTGTTAATGTATAGTATGCCTCACATCGGTGCCAAGATCATAGGCCCTGGAAGAAGGAAGGGTCCGCATCAATCTGGTTCCGTGCCTTTTTGCTCCTCACTGCCAATGCATTTTTGCTGCTTTTCGATTTTCTTTTCTTTTCCCTCGGGGAGTGAGAGTTTTGTGCATCCTCATCACTGTCAGACGCCTCGATTACTGTTGCAGTGCCCTCGGGAGGTGCTTGGGTTTCGACAACAGCTCCGTCGGGTTCCTGGGGGTCTATATCCGAGGCTTGTACATTTTCGGATTCGTCAACTGCCTCTTCACCCTCTTCGTCCTCAAAAATGGCCCTGAGATCTGTCATCTTGAGCGTGTCATCGTGACCTGCACTACCGACCCATCTTCCCTCCCCACCGAGATCGACTGCAATTCTTTCGATGGGAAAAGACCCGTGGTCAGCAACAACCCCAAGGAGCTTGGTGGGAAATAGCTGCACGGCCCGCAGAAGACCATCAGACGATCCTGTGAGGATGGTGGAGTGAGAAGACGGGTATGACGACGGCAGCGTGCAAAGGGCATCAATCGACTGGGGGTGCCTGCAGCGACGATGAGGGGTATTCAGGCAAGCATCCAGAAACAGAAGAACTTTACCCAGGAACTCTGTCGACACAGTCTCCCCATCCACGGCTACGATTGAACACGGATAAAATCCCCGTCTGCGTGCCGACTACTACTTTGGATCCGCTATTAGCCCGGCATTTCGCATGCACACAATGAGCATGTTTAAATACATATGTAGGTGGAAGTACCTTCGAATAGCAACAATAGAGAGTAGCTCATCCTCCTGATCCTCGGACTGTGCCACCGGTTCTGGCTTCTTTCCACGCACATCAATCACTGATAATGTGCCATCGCCGCTTGATTATCGCACAGAATAAAATATATAAGTGTTGGAATGCGGAGGATACTGTTGCTATGGGTGTTTGCTTACCTGGTTGTGATAAGTTGCTTTTTGTCGTCTAACCAAAGGAAATCAGAGATGAAGTCATAATGATGGGTGTAACCTCGAATGGGATTAGACTTTCGAGGGTCCCACAGCTATCCACAGCTTATACGTAAGAAGTTGATCGTAACACACGTCAAACGGAATCGGCTGACCTTGATTACTCCGTCGTCATCACCAGTGCCCAGCATCTGGGGCATGAGGCGTTTGATGCGATTCACTGGGGAACTTTAATTGGCACTGCCATCAGCTGCCTCAACGAAGCATGAAGTCACATCAAGGAATTACTAACTCACTCATGGGCATTTTTGCGAGTCTCGATGACTGTCCCAGTGGCTGTATCAATTGTGCTACATGTCTTTAGTACTATGGACAACCATGGCCTAGATATCAAAATACAACATACAAAATAGCTTTTGCCTTCCCAGTTGCCCAAAGATGAGACCCATCCTCGCTGGTATCCAAGCAACGGCAAGAACGCTTGGAAGGTCTTAACACGAAGCTTTCTTCATGTTGTCCTTGTTCATCATACCGAAAGGCCTTGACCTTTCCGTTAAGAAGGCCAGTGTATACAGTCGAGTGCGTGGGATGAAATGCAAGGTCAAAAATCTGGGATCCGACTGGAATGTCCGGCATGAAAGCAACGTGCACGAGTCTCAGCTAGACTTTAGACGAACAAGTACTAAGCTGCTAAGCCAGGCTTGAATTCAAGTTCGTGGTCATAAGTTGGGCACGTGACCTTACCATAGGACCAACATTTAAGGTCAGCGCTGGTCTCCGATGATGTCGGAATGGTCTTGCAGTCCAGCCGGTAGTGTAGGTGTCGGGTCAAATGCGCCTGCACAGCGTCCTAAACGCCGTTTGCATCTGTGTCGGTCAATGGGGGAGAGAAAATCCCTTGTAACCCATGGCTCGATTCTCAACATTAATTGTTTTACTCGCAGCCGTATGTCTTGCCCAGACAGTCACACTACATGCTGGTCTCAACAACGCCCTCTCTAACGGTGCCAACACTCAAGCGGTCAGCGCTCAATATTCAAGCAGGTCATCATTGACGGAGGACAAAGAGGATGTAACCCTACTCGATATCGTTCTCGTTGCGTCTGTGGATGGTCGATTCCACGCACTCAACCGTACTTCTGGACAGAAACTCTGGTCCATGTCGCATTCTGCGCACGAGGCCCCGTCCAGTCTTGCACCGCTTGTTCGTACCAAACATGCCACCTATGACTCCGACTTGACGGACGATGATGACGCCCATCATGAAGTGTACATGATCGAACCACAGTCGGGCGACATATATGTGATGGCTACCCCCAGCAGTAAACTCCAGCGCCTCTCTTTTTCCATGGCACAGCTGGTCGAGATGTCACCCTTTAAATTTGCGCGGGATGACGATGAGCGGGTCTTTGTAGGAAAGAAAGAGACATCTTTATTGTCAATAGAACTGGAAACCGGGAAAGTCAAGGCCATTAACGCTGAGTGCCCTTGGGACCCGTTTGAAAATTTCAGCCACAAAGAGGAGCTTGACTTAGACGAACTTGAAGATTATATGCCAAACAAAGAGAGGTTCATTCCGACGGAGGTTTTCATTGGACGTACCGGTAGGTGTCTATTGCTTTCATAGTCATTGCAGCTAAACAAGATTTCCTTGCAAGACTACCAAATATCCATCTTCACCCGCTCAAATACCCCCAATGGTCGGAAGGTTCCTATACAGAATTTGTCTTTCTCCATATATGGTCCCAATAACCAGGACAATGTCTTGCAAGCGGCGTACCGGAAGACGCAAGACAGCACATACATCGACTCCCTACCCACTGGCACAATCGTTTCACTCAAAGCGCAGGAAAATGACTCCGCAGGTCCATACTCTCTGCAGAAAGCGCAGTTCATGTGGACAAACCACTTTGATAGTCCCATGTAAGGAATGTCGTGTGTATTTCCAGAATATTTCTAATATTTTATATAGAGTGGCTGTATTTGATGTTCTGTCAAGCGCTCAGAAACCAGATCCATTCGTCCTCTTGCAACCTCGTGCTGACTTCTTGCGCGGATCGGATGTCTCCTCCCTTGACATCAATACAGCTTATGTCGGACTTGTCGAAGAGACAAAGTCTCTCTACGTAATGGGTGTGGACCATTTTCCACTAACCGCATTCGGCGACACCGAATTCAATCATAAACTCATTGAGTCTGTCGACGGTATCACCCGACGGCGCAAGATGGTGGAGCTATGCGAACGTGATCCAGGCAACACTCAATGCCTCACGGGTAAACGTCACCTTGATTCGTCTTTGAATAACAAACAACTCCCAGGTGTTCCTGGTGCAATGCTACCTCCTAGCGACAATTCGGATCCACCAATCGATGCAGTAGAAGCTATACCCACCCTGTCAGATCCCAGGGACAACACATCCGTGCCAGGCTGGATGCCATGGTCAGGCACTAGTGCTGGTGCACATATGAAGGTACTCGGCCCAGCATCCCCTATTTCCACCATTGGCTCCATAATTCTAGCCGCCGCCTTTACGGCCGGGTTTATATTCCGATCCAAGCTTCCCCGCGTGAGGCTTCAGATGGCGCCCGCCACAGTGTCTGTGCCAAGTTCCATTGATAAAAAGCCGGATGAAGATACGACAACACTGCCTCCTCGTCCAGATACCCCTGTCATACATGCAATGGAGATATCCCGGGTTCCCTCCAAACCCACGCCGGTTGCCATCAACTCAGGACTTATGTTATCATCAGACGACACTCCTTCTCACGTACTGCAGCCGCTGGACCACTTCCCGGAGCATGAACAACTTGATACCCCCAGCACGACAGCACTAGATCTTGGAGAGGCAGAGGATAGTGACAGGGAGAATGCCACGCCGAAGAAACGCCCTCGGCGTGGGCGCAGAGGCAAGAAAGGAAAGGGCACGGGGACAGCCGTTAATGGCATGGGGGGTGATCAGGATGACAAGGATGCAAACGGCCCTGTTCCTGAGACGGTGGTCAAAGACAGCCCGAATACCCCTTCTCTCACACTCGTGGTACCTCAGACGCCGCCGGCCGCTACATCTTCCCTGGTCGTGTCTGATACTATACTAGGTGAGTACTGATAATAAAACCTGTCTTAATTGTTAACATGTTCGAAAGGCTTTGGATCTCACGGAACGGTTGTATACCAAGGCTCCCTCCAGGGGCGTGCAGTAGCTGTTAAGCGCCTCCTGCAAGACTTTGTCACTCTCGCTTCCCGCGAGGTTGATATTCTTCAAGAATCGGACGACCACCCGAATGTCATCCGATACTACTATCAAGAAGCCCACGCTAATTTCCTCTACATTGCTCTCGAGCTTTGTCCCGCGTCCCTTGCAGACGTCATTGAGAGCCCCGACCAATTTCGCGAGATATCCAACTCTTTCGATCCAAAGCGTGCCCTCCGCCAGATAACATCCGGGCTCCGACACCTGCACTCACTTAAGATCGTTCACCGCGACATCAAACCCCAAAACATTCTCATATCTGCACAAAAGAAGGGTGCATCAGGCAGGGATGGTGGGCGGAGGATGCTCATTTCCGATTTCGGCCTATGTAAGAAGCTCGAGATGGACCAAACGAGTTTTCTACCGACAGCACACGGCGCCATGGCTGCGGGCACTGTCGGATGGAGAGCGCCTGAAATTCTCAGGGGGGAAGTGAAGCTTGACGACTCGATAAGTGATGACCATTCGCAATCATCACGAGGCAGTGTCAGTACTGCAGTGAATGGGTCAACATCAGGCAAGCCAACGAGACTGACTAAATCTGTTGATATTTTTGCTCTGGGATGTCTATTTTACTACGTCCTCACTAACGGATTACACCCATTCGGGGATCGGTTCGAGCGGGAGGTCAACATTCTAAAAAACACCAAATCCTTAGATGGCCTGAAGCAGTTTGGAGAAGAGGGCTTGGAGGCGGTAGATTTAATCACCAACATGCTAGATCCTGAAGCCTGCAAAAGGTATGTTTCTCGTACATGTTCTGTTTCTGAGTTTGTAATTCATGTGTACAGGCCCGACACCGCGTCATGTCTTGTACATCCATTTTTCTGGGACCCAGGGCGTCGCTTGAACTTCTTGCAAGACGCATCAGACCGCTTCGAGATCATGTGCCGAGATCCCCGTGACCAAAACTTGATTATTCTCGAAACAGGCGCTTTCGATGTCCTCGGTCAAGACTGGCATGCACGGTTGGATAAGGTTTTCATTGAGAACCTGGGCAAGTACCGGAAGTATGACGGCAAGTCTGTACAAGATTTACTAAGGGCTCTGCGAAATAAAGTGAGTCAAACTGTGTACAAAAATCCTTGTTGCCAGAAGCTGACGTGCACTTGAAGAAACACCATTATCAAGATCTCCCAGATCATGTAAAACGGCATCTAGGTCCCATGCCCGAAGGCTTCCTATCCTACTTCACCCGCCGTTTCCCCCGCCTCTTCATGCATGTGCATGGCGTCATATCCAACACACCATTATGCCACGAGTCCATGTTCAGGACATATTTCGAACTGGTCGACTAATATGCTATCTATAGTTATCCGTCTGATCGATTGGAAGTCGACGATCTTTGCATTTGGTTTCGCATATTTATTTTAACATCATATCCACACCATGTATCTGTACTTGTAACTGTTGCTTGGCATACATTGTCCTGTGTAATGAGAATCTTAATCCTGACTAGACAATCCTTCCATGTGTTTGACGACACACGTTACATGATAGTGCAACCCCAGCTCGACGATCGTTCCTCTTGCTGCGCTTGGGCCCTCGCTCTCTCCCTTTGACGCATTTGTTGGTACTGAGTCTCATGGTCTTGCCAAGTAGCACGTCGTCTTGCTTCGTCTCGCCTCGTGTCTTCTAGTCTCGCCTGCTCACGTCTTACTGCTTCTAGTCTCGCCTGCTCGCGTCTTACTGCTTCTAGTCTCGCTTGCTCGCCTCTGATCGCTTCTTGTCTCGCTATCGCTGCCCGTCTTTCTGCCTCCTCTCTAATCACGACCTCGACCTCCCTCCTTTGCCGCTCTTCGAATCGCGCCTGCTCGACCCGCCACTCTTCATGCTGCTGACGTTGCCGCGCTGCCAATCCGAGCAGCCACTGCTGTTCCTGTACATTGACAGCCTCATCGACTGGATGCTCGTCGTAGATTGTGCCATGATCCCTGTTCATGTGCGGATAGATGGTGCTAGCAGAAAAGACGCCCATGCATCGCCAACAAATATGGCTGTCGCACCTGTACCCGAGCAAATCAATGAAATGCAGACAGAAGTGGAGCGCGTCCAGAACAACTTACAGTGTGCAAGTCATATGATTGCAGCCATCCACTTTCTCGATCAGTGCTTGACACGTCGGGCATTTCTTCACGCGCCCGCCATGAGCTGCCAGCCATGCTTCCGTCTCTCGCTCCTCAGCAACGCGTCCGGCCTGCCGCTTGTTTTCGACACAGTCCATGCCCTCATGGGCGTCATCATGGCACGATGTACATATGTTTGAGAAACATGAAGGGCACTGGCCTGCGACCGCAGTACTGGGGTCGGTGGAGCGGTAGATCTGATTGCAGTCTGGTGTCTTGCAATACTTGAATTCTTGTGGATGCCGAGATATATACCCGTGAAATGCTATTTCCAGCAAGCGGTTGAAGGAAGTTTGAGGGAGGAATTGTTGGATAGTGGGAATAGGAATGGGGACTTTACACTGGGTCTCATCACCCATGCACGTGAGCGGAAACTGACCAGATTCCAAAGCGGATGTCAAGAAATGACGCATGCAAGGAGAACAGTAGACGTGCCCACAACCAAGAGGAAGCGGGGATGATACGTTGTCATAGCAGATCGGGCAAGACTGCTGTCCTGACGGGTCTGGGACGGTCTGTGGCCCACTGAGCGAACCTTGGATCAAGCGCTCGAGAGCGTGTCGTGCTTCCTCACCACCAGAGATTGTGATTCTCCGTGCAGATATGACGAATTTGACGTTGTCTTCGCCAAAAGTTTCCCTCAGCTCTGGTATTCCACGTGCGATGAAAAATCGAACGGACTGCTTCGCGAGTACTTTGGTATACTCGAGGGACGAGAGCTGCTCCAGCTTGTCCTTGATCAACTCACGAGCCTGTTCAACAGCTTTTGACTCTCCATAAACTTTCAAAACCTGTCGTCTGCAATCCGCACGTACGAGTGCCCCTGTGTCGTCAAAAACCGAACGCAAAAATTTGTTGTTTGGATATCCGAGTGTCATGTGCCACCCTTCCACCTTCTCACCTGCGATCAAGCTTTCCGCTCTAACTTTGAGTGCGCCAATGGCCTCTTTCTTGGAGCCAGACAAACGCATCCGGACAACGGCGCTCTGCTCATGAATATGCAGCATGCATGCACGCTTGTCTTTGATGCCGCCGATCAAGGCATCCCACAAAGGCTTTTGTGCGCGAAATTGCTCAGTAGAAATAGTGATCGAGTACTGTGTGGGATTCGGGAGCCGGAACCAGAAGGACACGTTCCCGATGCGATGGTTAATGAGACGGGTATGCACCGCGTCCGCGTCCTCCCAAGAAGAAAACCGCGCACGGACCACAACGGTACCATCAATGCTTGGAGTCGGCAGTAGAGGCTCCAGCGATTTTAGGGTTCCAGGAGAGATGCATTTGATATCTTCCCGCAATGTGGCAGTGATATGACCGACGTCTTCGCTGAAAACTCCACCTCCACCCCTCACTGTCAACCGCCTGACACCATCTGAGCCAGAAAATGTTTTAACTTCTTCGTCAGAGATAGTTGGGGGAAGGAAACTAATCTTGATCGAGTTGTGGTGGAATGTTGGTACGAAGCGACCAGGTGGCATGGTGTTGACCTCGACTTTGACCCGGCGCCCAGAGCACATCTGGCGGTTAAGTTCCTGCGCCTTTGCAGTAACATTTACCGTATCAGGGTACTCTGCGACATAGCGCACGGATGGGGCACGCCAGGATATCGTAAGGACATTACTGTCACGTTCAGTCGCTGCGGACATACTTCCGGGACTGTTGTAGCCTGATACTTCGAGAGTCAGAACCTCGTCCCTAAACTCGAGGCCACCGAGGTCAAGCGAGAGTGCTTTCCCGGACTCAGCGTCCGTGATAATTTCAGCACTAAGCTTGCCACCACCTGGCATGGGCTTGACGCTGACGAGGTGGAAGCGCCCTCGATCAAGGCCGCGGTCTGTGAACAGCGCATTGATTTCATCTTCCTGCACATTGGGAGGCAGATTTGTAATACGCAAGGTGCAGCACTCGAATCCGGTGATTAGGTGAGATAATTCAAGGCCTGCGCTGAAGGTTACGATGGACCCAAGCACAACGTTCTGGACCGTCTTCGCAGCAGCTTCTTTGGCAATCTCGGCTGCACGAGCGCTGGTCTCAGCCGCACGAACTCTGGCAGCCTCAGCTGCACGAGCTTTAGCCTCAGCTGCACGAACTTTGGCAATCTCGGCTGCACGAGCTTTGGCCTCGGCTGCACGAACTCTGGCAATCTCGGCTGCACGAGCTTTGGCCTCAGCTGCATGAGCTCTGGCAATTTCGGCTGCACGAGCTTCGTTCTCAGCTGCATGAGCTCTGGCAATTTCAGCTGCACGAGCCTCCCTGGCTAACTTTTCTTCTGTTTCAATTTGTTGGGGAATAACATCTTCAAGATGCTCCTGGTAGTCGCTAAGCTAAATTCAGGGAAGAAAGGCACCCAAAAGATTCACGTACTTCAATACCATGCAGAAACCGGCATTTTGTGCCTCTTGCGCACATCCCGGCCTTCCAAGCGCGACACACTTCGCCACCCTTGGAACTTCGGGATGGCCCAACAGACGTATGAGCGGAATTCTCCGAGGTAGACCTTTGAGACATGGTGCGCTGCACCTGTGACTGAGGCGCCCTAGGCTGGCGGTTCTGTTGGCCATTATGCTGGCGACGACCCTTATGGTTGGATGGACGGTTGACAGTAGTACGACTCAATTCAGCATGTTGAACATGCTGAGTATGTGCTAATGCGTCACCCTGTAATGACAAGCTTCAGTACATAACCGAGATTATGAATTTCTGAACGAAAACTTGCCTGGATTTCGTGGCTAAACTTGCACTTCGCCCCAAAACGACAATGACCTTGGAGATGATACTGGCACGACATGGTAGGAAGGAAACAAGTCCTGAATTCGAGTGCCGCACACCTCGTGTACACAGCAAGTCTGCATTGTTCCAAACAGAATATTATGGAAGCAAAACAAAGTGGGCGCTTCGATGGTGGCGGTAGCGCCGTCCAGTACATTCTATAAATAAACGCGCATGTCCTAACCAGGACAGCTCATGTGCTGAACATTGTTTTCCTGTGTTCAAAGATACCTGACTCATGAAGTGGTCGACTCTGATTACTCTTGTTCAAACTTCTCTTAAAAACCGCCTCTAACACTGCTTCGCCAAGTCAAGCTGCAAACGATCGAAAAACAAACAGACAGGACACGTACAACTTATCGTCTCAACTGCCACTGGTAAGAGCATCAAGTCACCAAGCACTAGTACGTGTTCCCTAGCTCCTACTTCTTTCACGGATGTCATACCACTTTTGCTAGATACTCAACCTGTGTATGGCGTCGTCACTGACAAATTAGTCAAATGTATGACGCACTCTTTGAAACCCACTCGCTGTCCAGGCGTTGCGGTACTTAGCGAACGACTTGCAAGTGAGAAAACTTTTTAATAAACCATACATCCAGTACCGTGTTTCGTCATGGTCACCTGGAACGACACAAGCTCTGGATCTGAATACTTAAGTTGGTCGTTGCTGTCAAACTTAGCATGTGCCTGGGGTCTTAATGATTCAAGTGGAGTTTTAATGACAAAGCTACCTCTACGCCCGCCCGCTGCCTGAAGTGCCCGCCGCCCAAGGAATGCTAATTTCGGGCTCGTACCAATTGAGCAATGTCAACGTCCCCCTCCTTCAAGTTCCCTGTCTCTTTTCTCACACCGATCTACTCGCTCCGGCCGGCTCGATGTGCCACCCCATGGCGGTAAATATGGACTCAACGTACATGGTGCGTGCTCAGCGTGTGACAACGGCGGGCAGCAGGTGGTGGTAGTGACGGTGCCGTGGCGGGATGTCGGGCGCTGTCAGCCATTGGCAACGTCAAACTCCGGCATCCGTGTCGAGCGTGCACCTAGCAGATACCGACCCAGATGGCGTGCAGGCCTTCACCCAGACCGGCTATTTTCAAACTGATATGATAAGTAGCTGCCCTGCAAAGTACTGATCATGAACGACTGCAGATCTTGCTACTCCGACTCGAATCACTCATCGTCACGAATTCAGGAGATTAGGAAGGCCGACCATTGCTCGTATTTTGAAATTGGATGCTAGGCAAGGAGATACAATATCATGGTTGGCATTGATTGCTACAAGAATGCAATTACTAACTGAATTTCGTCTCTCAAGTCCAGTATGTAGATCTTTTGTGCATATAGTACTCACCGTCACGGTGATCGATCAATATATTGGGAGTCAAACTTGATTCACGCAAGGTTCATGCCTCGATCCTCACTCCAATTTTCGAAACCTGAATTGACCGTGAATCGATCGTAAGTTTGAATGCCCTCTCAGATCCTCGAACGGTTCTCATCCATAGCTCTTGATATGTGATGTGTAGATCAGCAATGCGCCCAACAGCTGCTGTGAGACATTCTCCAACACAGGAAGATCTGCCAGTATTTGGCGTGGCGTCGACATCTTCGCAGCAAAATAATGATTTTGCATTCAACAGGTCTGCCAATGACGCAGAATCCTATCCCTTACAGGCATCTGAGTCTGACGAATCCTCGAATTCCTACTTTTTGGATATACAGTACATATCCCAATAATGCATACGGTCGGGAAGCTGAAAATGCCATGCATTACCATGGATATGCATGATGCTGGATGTCACAATTTGTGACACCGTGTGACCTTGTTATAACTGCAGTAGATAGTACATCAATTACTTGGTAAAATATTGATCTAATGACGTCTGCTTTGAATTCTGTAGCTCCTCCCGTCGCAACTGACCACGATAACTACAGAGTTGCTCTGATAACTCTAAGGCAAACTGAGGATTACCATATTGTAAGCAGGCAGTCTCAATTCACTGACATAATGCGCTCAACTCTGCGCATGCCATGTTGTTGCAGTCGCCGCCGCCACCGTCGTCGTTGTCATCAGATTCAATCTCGATAACCTTACCCTCTGCAATAGCAATCTCATGACGTACCATGTCTGCAACTGGCTATCAAATGAAGATTCTTCCATCTCCTTCTCCTCCACAGGATCGAGAAGCTCATCAATTGTTGGCGGCACCCCGAAGATACAATTTTGTGATTTGAGATCATTGACTGTTCGCATAAGCTCTATTTCAGCATAGATAAGCTGGGCTGGCTGTTTTGGACGTGAGGGAATGCGAATTTTGAGTCCAGAGCGGCACAATGCAGCCTATTTTGGTGCTTATATTCACACATAGAACAATGCAACCTCCATCTTAATAGTGCCCAGACAATGCATATTACCCTCGAAAGTTCATGCATTATTCAGTATGTAGTTTTTAGTGCATAATGGCTGCGCCCACGATGGGACCCTGCCAAAGTTGATGCATTATCTAGGATATGCATGACTGGGATGTGCATTATTGGGATATGTACTGTACTACATTCTCGGATCACGAGTTCGTTGACAGTTCTGCAGATTGGGTGGCTCCAGTATCACCATCGTCTTTTCTTGTGCTGTTTTCGTGACATTTCAATTCCCTCTTACTAGTACCAGTTTCGGCGGTCTTCGAATTCTTCAGCGGTGACTCGCAGTATAGAAGCTCGATGTGACTGCTCAGTGGTTGCGACCAATCGGCAATTGCGGGAAAGGTTCTGCGTTGGCGACAAGTCACATAAATAGAGCTACGTGGCTCACTGTGTTACCTAGATTCAGTCGAGGTATCCTCAATGTCGCTCTCATCAGGCCCTCCCAAGTTTCGAGTAGCAATCTGGTAAGTCGGACAACCCCGCGCAGACGAAACGCAGACTGAACCTCCTATGCAGTGGTGCAGGCACAGGAGGGCTTTTTTACTATTGGGAAGTTTGCAGGGCGCGATATTCACATAGACTTATACGAAGCGCATGATGCCATTACAGCCGCTGGGGCTGGTATTACAGTCGCGCGACGCACGGCGGAGGTCATGGTGGAACTCGGCTTGTATGAAAAAATCTCTCGTATTTCAGCATCGCCCCCTTCTTCCAGCTATGGTCTGTTTCGATAATTTGTGTTACAACTGTGTTTAACTCGTTTCGTTTCGACAGGTCCAAGATTGAGGAAGTCTAATGCCCAAAATGGTGGTTTGAGTGGTTTCATTATACCTGGTCTGTGAACTTCATCATTTCGAACTGGGGGCAGAAAAGTGACAAAGCCTCTCACAGTTAAGCAGGGATTCAATATGCATCGGCAGGATCTTGTCGATATTCTCAAGCAAAGCATTCCGTCATCATGTACTATCCACTTTAATAAACGGCTTACGGAATATGAAAAGCAGTCACCAGGATCGCTCGCCCTCTATTTCGCTGATGACAGCACCTCGACCACCGACGTATTAGTAGGGGCAGACGGCATCCACTCCCCAGTGCGGAAGACATTTTTCGAAACAATAGGCCCAGACACCATAGACCCAAGCAAGATAAGGCACTGCAGTGATCCATTTTGGACTGGAACGCTTGTCTATCGCGGCATCTTTCCAACGGAGAAGCTTTCGAAATTGGATCCAAACAATCTAACTTTGAAGGATTCAGTCAGTCCTCAGAAGGTGGTCACGATTGTCAGGAATAACTTTTATTTCGCAGTTTTGCGGGAAGGGAAAGGTGATTTATCACAGTCGACTAGTCCCTGTTTACTCATGAATATTTCAAAGCACATCATCTCGTATCCTGTTTCGCAAGGAACGCAGATCAATGTCACAGCATGTTTCTGATGAGCAGAAAACTGGCATACCTTTTGAGGGCCATTGGGTTTCGGCTGTATCCCTAGAAGAAGTTGTGGAGGCATATAAGGACTTCCGAGTCCGATGCTAAGCGCCTTCTGAATGTAAGTTTTTTGGGGGTTGAGTCGTTTATGCTGTCCTCGACTGATGAGTATTTTTGCAGTGTTTCGAAAACCCCTCAAGATGGGCGCTTCACGTGGTGAATTAATTGCCGCTGTTCACTTGCGACAGAGTTGCGCTGATAAGTGGGTACAACAATCATTTGACGAGATCGTGTACATAGGCCCATGCCATGACACCCCACTTTAGAGCTGGAGCCGGTCAAGCAATGGAGGTATGCATGTTCATTCAGCAGACTCCACAAGTCCTTCACTTTGTATCAAGGATGCCTTTGTACTTGGTCGCCTTCTTGCCCACCCATTTACAACATTGGATAACGTACCCACTGCGCTGAAAGCATACCAGGACGTCCGCCTCTCATTCACTCAATTCGTAGCACGTCAATCGGAACGTAGTACGAGACAGATGTGCGATTTTTGGCGCACTCGAGACAGATCGGGGCAACGAACGAGAAGAGACGGAGATTCTGAAAGAGAAGATTATAGGCTTATGAGAAAATTGGGACAGTGAAGGTGAAGGTCGTGCAGTTGCTGAATGGGTAAAGGCAGAAAGGCAATTGCAGGAGGGTTCGTACAATGGACGATTTGAGAACAGTCCATTGTGTCATGGTTTTATACGAGTCGTAGCGGCGCTGGGAAGCCCCAGTCCCTGACTCCAAGAAACAATGATGGATTACAGGCAGCAAACAGTATGTTCGGAATTATTCACCTCTGCCAGCGCATTGTGTTTTTATCCTAGACGGGTTGACGGAGTGAGACAAGTCACCATGTCAACCTACAATCAAGCTTAATTAAGCACCCTCGAGCTACTGCCGGTAATTGCCACGCAGCCACTGGCGGAATGGCATTAACTGCCAACAGCACTAATCCGAACTCGCAGTGAATTTCTTTCAAGGTTAACCGTTATTGATATTGATACATTCCAAAAGGGTCTCAATGAACTGCAGCTGCCGTATGGGCCATCATCAAGAAGTACCACGGCCAACGTGTTCTGCCGAGAGCATCAAGGAATTTGATGATTTCATGTCCTCCCACAATTCGTTCTGATAAGGAAGCTCGATGATATGACTGCCCAATGGCGCGACCAACCGGCATTCACGGCAAAGCTCACTTCTTCGGTGTCGACAGTCGCATAAAATGAAGCCAATTACGTGGCTCGGGCCTCGCTGTGCTACTCAGATTTAGCTGAGGTATCCTCAATGTCGCTCTCATCAGACCCTCCCAAGTTTCGATTAGCAATCTGGTGAGCTGGATAACCTCTCACAGACAGGACGCAGATTGAACTTCCTATGCAGTGGTGCAGGCATAGCAGGGCTTTTTCTCGCTATCACGATTGGCCAGTTTGCAGGGCCTGATATCCACATAGACTTATACGAAGCGCATGATGCCGTCACAACTGCTGGGGCTGGGATTGGAATCTCGCGACGCGCGGCGGAGGTCATGGTGGAACTCGGCTTGTATGAAAAAATCTCTCATATTTCAGCAACGCCCCCTTCCTCCAGCTATGGTCTGTTTCGAGAAACTGCGCTACAACTGCATTTAACTTGATTCGTTTCGACAGGTCGAAGATTGAGGAAGTCCGATGCCCCAAATGGTGGTTTCGAGTGGTTTCATTATATCTCCAAAACACGTCTGTGAACTTCATCATTTCGAACTGGGGGCAGAAATGTGACAAAGCCTCTCACAGTTAAACAGGGATTCAATATGCATCGGCAGGAACTCGTTGACATTCTCAAGCAGAGCATCCCATCGTCATGCACTATGCACTTTAATAAACGGCTCACCAAATATGAAAAGCAGTCATCAGGATCACTCGCCCTCTCTTTCGCTGATGACAGCACCTCGATCACCGACATATTAGTAGGGGCAGACGGCATCCACTCCCCAGTGCGGAAGACACTTTTCGAAACAATAGGCCCAGACATCATAGACCCAAGCAAGATAAGGCACTACAGTGATCCATCTTGGACCGGAACGCTTGTCTATCGCAGCATCTTTCCAGCGGAGAAGCTTTTGAAATTGGATCCAAATAACGTAGCTGTGAAGGATTTCGTAATGGTAAGTCCTCAGAAAGCCGTCACGATTGTCAGGAATGACTTTCATTTCGCAGTTTTGCGGGAAGGGAAAGGTGATTTATCACAATCGACTAGTCCCTGTTTGCTGATGAATATTTCAAAGCACATCGTATCGTATCCTGTTTCGCAAGGAACACTGATCAATGTCGTAGCATATGTTCCTGATGAACAGAAAACTGGTATACCTTTTGAGGGCCATTGGGTTTCGGCTGTGTCCCAAGAAGAGGTTATGAAAGCATATCAGGACTTTGAGCCTGATGCTAAGCGCGTTCTGGATGTAATTTTTTGGCTTTGAGTTGTTCATGCTGTCCTCGACTGATGAGTATTTTTCGAAGTGTTTCGAAAATCCCTCAAGATGGGCGCTTCACGTGCTAAATGATCTGCCGTTATTCACTTGGGACAGAGTTGCGTTAATAGGTGATGCAGTGGGTCTCTTCTTGCTGGCACCACAATCATTTGACGAGACCGTGTACATAGGCCCATGCCATGACATCCCACCTTGCCGCTGGAGCTGGTCAAGCAATTGAGGTATGCATATTCATTCAACGAACCGTGAAAATCCTTCACTTTGTATCAAGGATGCTTTTGTACTTGGTCGCCTTCTTGCCCACCCACTCACAACATTGGATAACGTGCCCACTGCGCTGAAAGCATACCAGGACGTTCGCCTCTCATTCACTCAATTCGTAGCACGTCAATCGGAACGTACTACAAGACCGGTGTACGATTTTTGCGCACTTGGAACAGATCGAGACAATGAACAAGAGGAGATGGAGATTCTGAAAGAGAAGATCGTAGACCTGTTGGAAAGCTGGGTAAGTGAAGGTGAAGGTGGTGCTGTTGCTGAATGGGTGAAAGCAGAAAGGCAACTGCAGGAGGGTTTGTACAGTGGACGGTGTGAGAACAGTGCAACGTGATCACTGTATTCGTAGTGGTGCTGGGAAGCTCGAGTCCCCGGCTCCAAGAAATGATGATGGATTAGCAGCAAACAATATATTGCAGGCTTTACAGCCGTTCTCTAAATCTCTCGCCCTCCGAGGAATGAATCTCGCAGAGGTTGCGCAGAGGATTAACAAGTTTTCTTCTCAAGTCATTTGACAAGTTCGCTTGAAGCGCTCGACAGTCTCGCAACCCTGAACCTACGATTGCAGGTTCCAGGGCACGGGATCTCCTACACCCTTAGACAAGCCAGGTATATGCAATTATTGGTACGTTCCGTGTATGATCAGATCTAACTAGTAATGGCCGCAGGATCTTCCACCACTCACTATCACTCCCGGACCAAATCCTGGCCAGGCCGTCTTCCGATGTGGGCGTTGCAAACATAAGTTCGACTATTACAGTTCGTGATGTTCTCTTTCAATCATCCTCTCATCAGTCCAAACAGCCTGATTCAAAGGTTGTTAAGGAAAAGCTCGCAAATGCCAAAATAGATTCGACGGAATCAGGGGCGATAGATGATGCTCAATCGGGCGAACCGGGATGATGCTGTGTCCCGTCTGCTCTCGAAGATCTCGGAAGTCTACGCTTTATTAATGGGACATGAAGGATTGGCTGGGATTGCATCCATGCTAGAGATATGTGGAAAGATTGCGCGACAAACGCTGGAGTGTGCCGACTTTGTCGGCAATGGAAGTCCCTCTCTATGTCTAGGGACAACATTCTCCAGGACTCCTCCTCGTGCTGGTCCAGGATATGCACTGTCATGCTGTAGCGCCATACGGAGAAAACTGGTACCTTTCGCGTGGTCTTGCCAGGTTGAGGGTGACAAGATTCGCATTTAAGGGGCAAGTTGCGACAGTCTTCGATCCCGAATCGCTAGATCCGTACCTGAATGTGTGCTTGTAAGTACATGCACTTCGTTTCCCAGGTAGGGTGCCCCGCTGCTTGGTAGTAGTACCGTGATCGTGATGGCGCACTCAGGCACTCCAGCACGATCACCACAGAAACCACAGGGACTCGTACCGACCTATATAGATACCCGGATGTCCATTCACTCAATTCATAGCACGTGGATCGGAACGTATGGGACATATGCTCTAGTTTTGCCTGCCTGGGTATTATGATTGGACAGACAGGAAATACACGAGAGGAGATGGAGATTCTGAAAGATTGGACCAGTTGGATTGGAAAAGTGAAGGTGGTGCGGCCGTTGCTGAATGGGTTCAGGCAGAAAGCCAACTGCGGGAGGATTTATGCCAACGGTGCATGAATTCACTATTCTTCCTTGTAGACTTGGTTTTTCTTGTGTTACACAATAAACGTACATGCATGACTTCAGGGGACATACAGGAAATCTAGATAAAACTTGCACTCAGGCCGTTGAATACCTCGATGAGAATTTTCGGGTGATGCTCCCGTAGTCAGACCTTGACATAGAAGGTCTGGAGAGTTGGTGTTTATGTAACCTTGTACCAAAGTCAACGCGTGGCACGTTGCAAGTATTCGTTTGGCAGGTTAATGTTTACACTTGCTTTCTCTGCAAGTTCTTTGGCAACTCCTTCACCCATGGTAGGAAATCCCGTCCCTGCATATATGGCCTGAGTACCTCGGGTATAATGAGACCCTGAGGGTAAATGCAGTATTAGTGTTGATCCCTTGCGTCACGAGAAGGAGGAAGAGCGTACGTCTGGTGTCTGATAATTCTCGACCAAACAGCACAATGCGCGTTCTGTGGCGCACATTGTTCCGTTCAGCATGTGGACGTAGACCTTCCGCTGTTGGTCCTTCGTTTTGAGACCGCAACGAACTTCTAGCCGCCTGCTCTCTGTAGTATCGCTGAGTCCACATCATCAAGAAGTTTACGGGCGACAATCCAACTTACGGTAATCCGTACAATTCGAGCAAGAAACAAGTTCTTTGTATGCACCTTGGAATGGGAACCACGCCTCCAGATCGCATTTTTTCGACGCTGCGAGGTTCAGTGCACCACTGACGATCGCCACCACACGGTAAGAGAGACCCAAGCTCTGATAGAACCCTTCGCTGTTCGCCAGCATGTTATCGAATGCATTCCAGCTCTCTTCCGGAGCGGTGAGCACGAACTGCTCAACCTTCTCAAACTGGTGCACACGGAAGATGCCCCACATATCACGTCCAGCCGAACCAGCTTCTTTACGGAAACATGTCGAGTATCCAGCGTAGTATATGGGAAGCTGAGCTTTGGGGTCTTCGAACCATTCGTCTTGATGGAATGCCGATATAGGCTGCTCCGAGGTCGCGATGAGATATTTCTCGTCGTCATTGGCGATAACCTGTATGACGATATAGATTAGTTTTAAATTGTGCTATCCACCAACTTTGTCATGCCTTGTACAGTTCCTCGTCGAACTGGTCAAGCTGCGCGGTCTTTGCCATGACGTCTTTATTGACAAGGAATGGTGGTTGGACTTTCTTGTATCCCTTCCTGCGGAGGAAGTCGAGAGCATATGTGATAAGGGCTTGGTTGAGATCGACACCATCATTTGTGAGGAAGTAGCCACGGTGACCTGCGACCTTGGCACCTGGCGTATTGGTTTCAATACCAGTTATGGAATATGAATGCAGCGATAATCAAACCTCGATCAAGGTCCATTGCATCTAGTCTAAGCAAAACTTCATGGTGAGGCATGATATCCGTTTTCTTTTCTACTTGGCCATTAGGACCATCTGGATGCCAGGTTCGGAGAAATACATTGTCATCCTGAAATGTTATATCAGTTTCTCAGTTTGAATAGGAAGACATAACTCGGATACTCACCTCAGTCAAGCTGACTGGGACATCCTTCGCCACGAGATTTCCTACTGTAGAAGCTTTCTTCCGCATCTCAACCTCGAACTCGCGGGTCTCCTTCCGTTTCGCGTCAACCTTCGCATCCAGCTCTTTCTTAGTAGCAACAAGGTCATCTGCTGGTTGTTTGGCCTATAAGATATCATAAACTCAGGCAAGTGAGTGGATAAGCGTCAAGAACAACCTTCTTCTTGGCTGCGATCTCCTTTTGCACCGCGTTGACCTGCTTGCTGAGGCCGTTCGCTTCAAAATCCACTTAAAATAAAATCAGCACATGAATTCTATGTTCAAAGCCAGAGAGCTCTCAAGATCGCGCGTTTGAGAGGGCCGCCGATCATGAAAGGCAATCGAAACTCACTCTTCACCCACTCCGCGTACATATCTATGACCTGATCGACCAGCTCTACCGACTCTCCTCGCTTCCGCTGCGATTCACGAATTTCCTCGGCATTCCCTCCTTTGTTGTCTATGAAACTAGTCACGTCAAGCGTCATGGTAGTTATATTTCTCTTCTAGTTTTGGTTAAACTTCTGGATCGTCGGTGATGGAGGAGACGAGGATCGAAGCGATCAAAAAGGGAGATAGCCAATGCTCGAGATCAAGGGTATCAGCTAGTATGTGTCAACTGGTGTAGTGTTATGAATCAAGATGTTTTGCTATCCTTTTGATCTCTTCCTCCAATAGTCCTTCGAATCATTCGAGTCATGATCGCGTTACGTAAGCGCGATAGTTGGATTCACTGCACCATCGAAACCAGCCGGTGCGATACGTCGAGTCACGGTATGAGCGCTTGAGCCTCTGAATGAACTGGCGATGCTTCCTGTCATGCTTGCATACACTTACTTAATTGACGACCTTGAAATTTCGTTTTGGACTTGTGAAACGAAAAATTCAGAACAAAAACCATATGACCAAATAATTGTCAATAGAAGATCCTTAACCGTTCATGTCCGTTGAAGTGTTGTAAATTTGGTTTCTGGTGTACGTAGTAGTACATCAGCCACCCAACAGTATCACTGTATCGATAATAACCTTCGCTTGCCCCAGTCCATATCTTTTACTTCATATATCTGTCATTTCACCTGACACGTGCTATATCAATGTTCAAGTTTATACGTCGTGTTTCAACTTCATTTCTGCCGCGCCCAGATCGGCCCTGGAGAGATGATGGTGAGTCGTGTTTCATATCCCAACATGGCGGATCATCTGACGGTCTTTTGGAATTGGCGCGCTCCTGTATTATTGTTCTGATTGATTGATCTGATATGTAGCAACGTCAAATGCACCCACAATAGGTCGGAAGAGGTGTTTCAGCTTCGTTGAGGATGACGATGATGACTCTACTTCGACGAGTGTCAAGAAACTAAGGGGGGACTCCACACAGGCTGAAGGCAGTACCCCTCCAATACCAGCAGACTCGGATAAGAAGGAGGGGGAGGATGTCAAGTCAGTGACACAGGGGGTGAAGGATGTGGAATTGGATGAGAAGAAGTTGGATTCACCGTGCGGCCCCGAGGAAATTCCACTTCCAGATTCTCCTGGTAGAATCCAACCACTGGATACAACATTGACAGAAGCAGCAGCTACGACTCCGGAGGAGGAGGCCGATGAGAAAGACGCCCAAGATGGTTCGGATGCGGATTCGGTAGCTTCTTCGTCTCAAGTAATTTTGGATGAGGGGCAACCTGAGGATGATTCAAAGGATGATACCAAGGCACTTTCTACATCAGCAGCTGAGGATACACCTGTCGCAGAAGACATTCCCACTGCCGATGATACCCCAGCAGACACTGAGACCGGTGTATGACGTGGACCATACCCTCGCTTTTACAATCTATTTTATCGATGAACACGAGTACGTCTAAGTGCATAGATCTAGTTATTGATGAATGTACGGATACAGAATGGATTGCACGCTGGTTGGTGCAGAAGAGGGTTCTACTAACGATTTACGATACCGACACTGTTTATACGTACTGCTACTAATTCCTCGCCCCCCCCCCCCCCTGTTGTTTGCCAATTATATCAATGTATTCCTGAAAGGACACTTCGGATTGAGCGATGAAATGTACAGCCACCTCACTCAACTGTGATGGGTACTACCATCTGTCATGATGCAGGGGATGATATTGATGGTCGTTCATACTTAGGTTTCTCCTGTCAAACTTATGCGTACCAGTGGCCATGTGCTGAATATTTACTCGAGGTGAATGGTCATTCGTGTCAAGCGGCGGCCATGATACACGAGGAGTCGGACCTACGCGGCATTACTATTGGTTACTCTTTCATTCACATCCCTCATGTAATACTATCCGCTTAGTAGGCAACTGGAACGCACATGTATTAATTCCGGCTTTCTATGTCACCAAGGAGGTAAGCTTTGTTGTCATCCTGCTACTTTCAATCTGACTCGTCCGGTGCACTGGCAGTGGCTGGAATGTAGAGAGCTCGACTAGATGTAAAAACTGCCAACTTACTGCAAACAATGGTCACGGTCCACAACGGTTTACGACTCTATTATCTGTTGATTAGCCGATATGGCAGGTACTCGCCTCATGTTATGCGTGAGGTGTACACGCCTTTCCTTGCGCTCGTCAGCCTCCTCATACGATAATCTGAACAGCCAGCCGCCTACTCTCTATGGCTAATCGATTTCATCCTACGAGCATCGATAGTGATATCGTGCTTCTTACGCCCCCCTGTTCTGTGGCATCCTCACCTTTCACATCAAGCTTCTCCTGCATGCCCGCCTCTCCACGGTACTTATACCTGACACTGGTTTCATGTGTCCGAGGTTTCTTTGCATTTAAACATTACACGTACTTACCTCCATTGATCTTTCAGCACCCTTACCACTCTTCCACGTCATTGATCGCACGCCGAGAGTCCACAGGAAACGCTTTCGTCACCACACACTCAACCCAGTCTTCTATCTCTCATCTTCTCCACCATGTTTCGTTTCATAGGCTCGGAATCCAATAGCAAGGGTAAACAACGTCAGCAAGACGCTGACCCGGAACTTCAGGTGCATATCCAAACCGAGGTCCACTCGAATCGTCCTCCCGTAGAAAGTCAGAGCTCCCAAGCACTAGACAGTACATCCTCCCTTCAGACTACGCCTTCAAATCCTAAGCGCCCGCTGCCTCCTGGGCTCCGCGTGCCGACACACCCTTACCCATACTGGCAAAATCATACGCCGGCATCATCCTCCCAGAGTAGCCTCGAATCACCTAAAACCCCTTCACAGGTTTCCTGGCTTGGAGGGGCTGGAGGAACTTCGGTTGCTCGTGCTGCATCATCGTCACCGGATCTTCAACCTCATCACTTCCCACCACCACCACCCACTGCACCACCAGCAAATGCCACACGCACGCGGTCCTTACAACCCTCCAAGAGCTCACATTCATTGCGAGTACCGATACAGGAGTGTTTTGGGCAACCACTTTCTCCAATTGTTGAGCAAGACTATATGTCACCCGAGAAGCGCACCGTGTCATTACCAAGTAGCCCAGGTGGCTCCGGTTCTCGAACGAGTGGTACTACAGCCACTATGATGACACCGATCAGTCCATCTATGATGACCCCAACTAGTGCGGTGGCTATGTACTCCGCACGCCCAACACCCACGCCCACCACTCCAGTTGTTCCTCCGCAGTTTGCGAGGCGACGAGAGGATTCGCTTGGTGACTCATCACGTTCGTTCGCAAATTCTAGAGTTTGTATCGTGACTGATCAATGTGAACAGGTTCTTCGCCAGTATACTCAAATTTTCTCTCCCGCCCGTTGAACAGGACCATAAGTATGTCGTCGACGAGGACACACCAGTCTGGCAACTCGTTATCTGCAACACCACCTGTCATTCCTCCTCTTGATCTACGCCCAGCGTTTCCTGGACCTCTCCCTTCAGACACAATTTTGTCCCGGGATATCGCTGAGGATATTCCCGATGATACATCAACGAAACGCGAGAGCTTCGTCACAGCTCGGTCGGCTGGTGCAGCACGGGAGAGCAGGTACTCTGCTATGATTTTGGAACCGGATCATGAACCTCTAGATGATCAGGAACTCCCATCGAGCCGAACTGCAGAGTCTTCTAAGAATTCCCCCGAGCGCCAACAAGGAATCCCCCAGCTACCTTCACTACCTCCAGCAACACACACACCCTTGCTCCCCCGTGCTTCATCGCGAACCTCAACATATCCACCCTCATACTCGTTACCACAGCCCAATGTAGATCACCGGGTCAATCACGGTGGGCTCGATACTCCAAGCCAGCGTGATTCTGTTCGATCGATGTCATCTTCATTCATCGACCGTCGCTTTGCAGAGTCAGAGCTATATTTCGGCTCATATACAGAATGCTCTAGCGCACGCCAGGCCAACGAGAAATGGGCTAAGCATACTGAGAAATCCGACACCGCTCGGACACTGTTCTGGCTTGGGTTTATTGCACCATGGTGTTGGCTCATCGGTGGATGGCTGGTGAAAGCCAAGAATAATAATACCTATGGCCGGGGTGGCAGCATGACGCCCTTGTGGACGGGTAAGAGCACACGGACAGTTAATTCATTTACGATGCAGCCATTGCACCATGGCTATCCCTTTGTGGCGCCTTCGGTGCAGAGCTTAATGCCGCCATCATATTCGCGAGGGATACATTCAGCGCATCCTCGTGGCCCTTTTTTAATAGCGAGGAGCCCGTGGATTAGGAGGTGTAGGGTGGCTGCTGCTGTGAGTGGAATTATTATTATGCTGCTGTTCATTGTTGCCCTGGTGGTAGTTGGGAGGAGCAGTTGAGAACAACTAATCGTGAAGAATCCGTATCTGGATATTATATTCTCAAATTAAAATGAGCAAGCGATATTTACCGTATACTTAGTACTATATGATCATTTCTCCATTGCAGCTTGCATCACATTCCGAGGATCAGAATCATAGAGATCTGGTTCGAACCTGTAGCACTTCATGAATACCTAGCACTTTACGAATGCTTACGCTTTACGAAATAAATGTACCTAGCAACCTTTGCGAAATTACAATGTATTAGAGAAAATTTTATTAAACTTCATACTTAGTCACGTAGGTTTGTATCGGAAGGTTTTCCTGATGTTCAGCATCCTCAACGACTCGGAAAGGCTCAATTTCTGTTTCTTCTTCACTGGCCTCGCTCTCATGGACAACCTCATCAATAGAGTTTCGACGCGCGCGCGCGCTTAGATTTTGGAGGACCTGGAGGTTTCTTTTTCGAAGTACGTTTTGGTTCAGCCTCACTCTCGCTGGTTTCTGATTTGCTGTTGCTCGATACAGCTTTCCGTTTGTGATTCTTCCTTTTTGGTGACACTTGCTGACCGCAGCTCCTGGCGCGTATACCGGTGCAATTGATGTTATCAGGAAAACATTAGCTCGAGATGGTGTCACTGGGTGAGTGGTTGTGTCTATGCTCAGGGCTACTCTCAATTCAATCAACAGCTTGTATCGTGGAATGGTACCTCCACTGCTGGGAGTCACTCCAATCTTTGCAGTGTCCTTCTGGGTAAATATACGGTGCCTATATCCAAATTACGCGTCTTGCTGAGACTGCTACCTCCAGGCATACGATGCCTCTAAGAATTTAATACTCGCATTCACACCCAATCGTACATCCGAGAAGCTTTCTACAGCAGAACTTGCCGCTGCCGGTTTCTTGTCTGCCGTACCGACGACCCTCATTACTGCACCTGTTGAGAGAGCAAAGGTTCTGCTGCAGGTGCAAGTTCAGGGCCCCAATACAAAGGTGTCTTCGATGTTATGAAGCACCTCTACAGGGAAGGTGGTATACGGAGCATCTTTCGAGGCACTGGTGCAACTATCGCTCGCGACGGACCAGGCAGTGCCGTGTAAGTTTACATCTGACATTTGAGAACACTTCGACCTGGACTGAAATAACGCTTCTCAGTTACTTTGCGGCGTATGAAGTTACCAAGAAGGCCCTGACGCCCGCTGGGCCGTCAGCAGGAGACCTCAACCTAGGCGCCATTATGTTCGCAGGCGGAACTGCAGGTGTTGCAACGTGGTCGATAGCTATACCCCCAGATGTAAGGCCTCCCGAGCCATAAATCTCTCCAGGATTCTATTCATGTTGCTTCAACAGGTTTTGGAATCCCGCATACAATCTGCACCTTCTGGTACATATCCTGGACTTTCCGATTGCTTTAGAAAGACCGTAGCGCGTGATGGGATTACTGCATTATGGTAAGGTCTTGGTCCAGCGATGGCTAAAGTATGTCGTTTCCATGATTATGCCGAACATTGCTTACATACTGTGATATTGCTTTAGGCTTTCCCAGCTAATGCTGCCACATTTGTACGTTTTGTTCCTCAATCTGACTCTGTGACTGTATTCTAATCAGTATTGGTTATGGCAGCTTGGTGTCGAAACCTCGCGGAAGTTCATGGATGGTTTCTTCTGAATGGGCCACTATTTTATAGAACATATATCACAAATGGAATTCATCACTGGGCTGAAATTGTGCCACAAGAGAGTTCAGTTTGTGAGCAATCGCGTCTCGGAATTACAGCCCTTCGCCGCGACAATTTCCAGCTCCTCTCCTCGTATCCCCCAACCCCTGGCAATGTCGCGAAGCTGTACGGTAGGCTCGTGACCAGCCTGATATACACTACGCCGTTATTTGACGTGGTGACCGGACTACGGGTTTAGGTGCACAGGGCATGAATATCGATCTTCAATAAGTGTCCCTTTACAGCCATTTCATCTCATCTCCTTCATGACAAGTTGCTTCGTCACGACGTTGATGGCTGACCATTCACCTGAATGTTGGCAGTTTGTCGGTAGAACTTATTGTGCACTGCATGTTACAAGACAAGTAAACAGCAGCCACGTTGATTCCAACAATAGCTCACTGTGAGAGTGGCGATATCTTGGGACCTCATAAAGTACCGTCGGTCTCATCACACTTATTATTTCTGCCCATCATGGCCGCGCCTCCCGAAGTAACGATCAAGAATCTCACTGGGAAATATGTTATGGTTCGTTGTGCTCAGGTTATGTATATCGCAGGGATAATTCTGATTATATTCCCTGGTGACAGAACAAAACATTGAGCGATGACAGCGACGATATCCTCAAGCTCCAGGGCATATCTTGGTTCGAACGGCGTGCCAACTTGATGTTTACGTTGAAGCACTATGCCGACGAGGGCGGCTTTGAGCACATAGATATCGAACAGACTCTATCTGGCGGTATCTCAGGCACGACTCAGTATCGCACTCTCGATTGGGAGGAACGTAGCATAAACGACGATGTTTTTGGTGCTTTGATAGCACAATCAAAGAGAATCAAGGTTGAGGAAGTGGATGATGAATTCTTGAGGTCTGGCTGGACGGAAGATGCAGTTGAAGACGGGTTAATTCTCGCTGTAACCCGGAGTGATACTTCAAAAAGTGGCATGGAGTGGAAGACAGAACTGGTACGACTTTATAGTTTGATTTTATTCGTTCCTCATGCTCTTCAGACATGGGGGTTTGAAGTATTAGACGGCGAGAGGAGATTCGCTAGACATGTGAAGTTCACATCATCGGATAAGAAGGATGGTCCCATCTTCAAACATCACTATTACGATTACGGTAAATTACCTCTCTCAGTGATCTATATATCGTATGCTCATGATTCATCTTTCTCCTAGCCGGACCTCTATGAATGTACAATAAGTACTACGGCGACCATAACTCAGAAACAGAGATCCTTTGTAATTACCACTCACTGACAAACTTATACTGCATAGAGTTGATTCCACCAGTTTTTGTTGGATAAGATGCAGAAAGCGACCGGGGCAAGTTACTTAGCGCTCGGTGGTCATGTCAGCATGTACTCAGGAACCCTAATGGATTATTAATATGAACCATAGTTATGAGGTCTAGCTTCACTATACAGCTTCTGCTCCACATTCCCTTCACGTTGAAGTTTGAGTGATGTGTGTGTGTCTTCCCTGGTGCATGAAATTTAGGCTATGTTCTTTCCTCTATAAGGTCAAACATCAGAATTATGTCGATGTTTGTGATTATGTAGAATGTATTATTATATATCTTCTTCTCATTTTTCTGGCAGTTCACTGATGTTAACAAGCCAAGCCCGAAGTGAGTCTGCGGCTGTACTTGAACTTATGTAAGCATCACACCTGCAACCCAGCCCCAAATGCGCCTCCCAATGATCCAGAGTGACCCGACTCTCCACAACCACCATGCCCAAATCACCAGCAGAGATTCTTCTCGAGAAAGCTGATAAGAAATCAAATTCTTCGACTGGATGGTTTTCTTCTTCATCAACTAAATGGGAGGAAGCAGGTGACCTATACCAACAAGCTGCCAACTCTTTCCGGCTCGAGAAGCAATTCAAGGCAGCTGGCGACGCATTTTCAAGAGAAGCAGAGTGCAGAGAAAAGTGCAACGAAACCAACGATGCAGCAAATGCTTGGTGGAATGCTGCCAAGGCATACAAGAAAGATGACCCTCAATGTATGTTTCTCCGCACTCGTGATGGAGTTGATACTGATCTGGCTCTGCAGTGGCGATTCAGGCTTTAGGTTGCACGATTATGCATCTCACTAAGTCGGGTAGGTTCCGCCAGGCAGCAGACAGAGAGAAGGAGATTGGCCAGATCTATCAACACGAATTGAATAACATCGCGAAAGCATGCGAGAGCTTCCAGCGAGCCGCCGAGTGGTATGACCAGGAGGAAGCTGCTGCGTATGTACAGCTTTTACAGAGCAGACAACAGCTCACCTTGGCTATAGAACGGCTAGCGCATGTCGTAAGGATGCAGCAGACCTCTGTGCTGAAATTGAAGACTACAAAGGGGCTATACAGCTTTATGAGATGGTCGCAAGTTACGCGCTGAAGTCGAACCTGACAAAGTATAGCGTGAAAGATTACTGGTTGCGTTCGGGCCTTTGTGCACTCGCCATGAGAGTACGTTTCTCATAAATGTGACCTACTCAATTTCTCATCATGTTCTAGGATGTTGGGAAAGCACAGCGGGATATCGAAGTGTTCAAGTCGAAAGATGTTACATTCAGCTCAACCCGGGAATGCAAGTTCCTAGAAGACATGTGTGCGCTTGTAACGGATGGCGATGAACGAGCCTTTACGACAGCAGTGTTTGAGTATGATCAGGTCACGAAGTTGGATAATTGGAAGACAGGAATATTGTTGAAGATCAAGAGGTCACTCAAGGACGAGGTGGATATTCTCTGATGGGATGCCACTCACGCCTCACCTGTATTTCTATGCGTACGTCTGACGGTTCACATTCACATTAATAGTTTAGATTGGGCCGATTATATTGACATGGATATCATGCACGGGGCGAACCACAAGTAATTATATACGTCCACGTCGCACGTGCTGTGACACATCGCGCAGCCATGGAACGGGAAGATGCGGGTCGACCCGTGACCAGTCTGCATGTATATGGCCGTCGATAATAGACAGACCGGGTTTGGATTTGAATATGCGATTTGGCCAACATGTGTACGCTCACATAAGCTGAGCGCTGAGCACCTTCGATGCGGCTCAGCACTTTGGATAGCAGTGAGATCCCAAGATGGAGCATTATGGATGACTTGAAGCGGATCTTCGTGCAAGATGGCTAATGGGAGGCCTGGCTATTTGAACCGTTTCCTGCCAGTGCACATTGGAGGCTGCAGTCAGAAATGCCAACTGTCCCTGAATTTTGGCCAGCAGGACGAATCACCCATCATAGGGATGAAATCCTTCTGCATAGAAGTGAGACATCGTGATCATCAAAAACACTTCATCCAGAAGCTGAGATGTGGCCAACGGGATAATTATAATGCGCCAGACCAGATCTAGGAAAGATAGTATGTGCACTCAGACTGATTCTAACAATGATCAGGCAAAATAAGATCGTTCAGGCGACCAGTACTAGTATGTAAGCGCGCCTTGGTCCTGTAGAGTATCACGTTGCCGCAGTTGACATCAAAACAATAAGTGCTCCATGAAAACATGAATGATGGCAAGGACCAATGGTTGAAAAACAGTGGAGCTTTGTCTCGATATCCAACTTCACTAGTGGGTAAACATAAGTGCTGAACGACGATCAAAACGTACAATGGCCCAGGATGATAACTTGAAGGTGCTCAAGCAGCAAAATTGTTAATAACCAGAGAGCAGAACTGGTCATCCTTCTCACTGAATACTAACAATTTCGTTCATCAGGAACAAAGCACCGAGAGAACCGAGAAGACAAATTTCCAGCTGTGATGCGATGTCAGTAGACGCAATTGTGAGCCCCAGCTTTGACGTTTTCAGCATTTAATGATCGAATGCCAGGATCAGGCCTTGACCTTCCCTCTTCTATCTAGTCTTCTTGATTTCACCGCGCTAATCGAATGGCCGAGAGTAAATACGCTCCATGCACGCATAGTCGGACTTGATCATCCGCAAGATTGTCTGAAAAGCGTATAAATGAGGATGAGAGAAGTAGCGAGTCATTTTGGCAGTATACACTCGCTGGGCTGTAGGGCGTTTTCATGGCCGACTTCTAGCTAGAATCCGCTAGATGAACTTTAATAAAGGAAGCAGAATGGAGCTCACCACTGAAGTTATATCGATCTCGAGTGGTTGGGATATAGGTGACAAAGGTCTCTAATATCGATAAGTCATTCGGATGAACTTTACTCAACATAGTGTGTTATGCTCTTGAGCCATATCCTGGTCGGTGTGTTACGGACCATGCTGCTGGTGGATGTATTGGCGTTTGTGGACTGAGAATAATTCAAGTCGCAATGAAGAACAAAACTTCCGAATGCGGCAGTCGTAAACCGCTCGAAATCTTTTCTCTTTCAACTCTCGTACAAGCAAATACAACTTTGCTGATCAACAGCTCGACGTGTTGTTGAGATACTGAATAATGGTTGGACATGCATAGGCCTGATGTTTTTTGCATACTAATCGCTCCATCATAGAGGCCAATTCTATTGCAAGGCAAAATCAATCCATAGCATCTTCAAAGCTTCAACCGTGATCTAACATTCAGTCTCGCAGGTCACGAACGATCACTCACTCAAATCAAGTTCAATTCAGAAGGGGACTTACTTTTTTCATGCTCCAAAGACCATATTATCAACGTTTGGTTCTCACACAATGGTGAACGCCTAGGTACATACGATGGCCACAATGGCACAGTATGGACAATCGACGCCGATTGTAAGGACTTTTCCCCCCTTCTACGCCGTGGTGCTACTGATATTGACCAATATCTGATAGCACAGTCAAGATTTCTTGTCTCTGGATCTGCCGATAATGAGCTACGTCTGTGGAACGTATCCGATGGCAAATGTCTTTACGTTTGGGAGTTCCCGACGGCTGTGAAGCGTGTTGCATTCAGCGACGATGACGAACGTGTCGTTTGCATCACTGAGCAACGCATGGG